ACGTGAATGGAGAGCAAAAAAAATGGGTGGCTCAAATTCGAAAGCCGCGCCGCACGCGCACTGTAATTATTAGGTTCCGTAACCACTGCTGGGTGTCGCAAATGGCGTGGCGATGGCCTGACAGTCCGCTTTCGATTCATTAATTGCCAACGATTTCGTTGGATGTGGTCTTGATTATTGCGCGACAATTATGTTCGCTGTAGTCGACCCGGCTCTTCCCACGTGACTGATTCTGCGCTGGCAATTCGTTGCGCTTGATGATTGACTGTGGGCCTGAGAAGCATGACGCCAGCAGCCTGTGGCTCACGCAGTTGTAAACTCTTGCGAGTATTTCGGCCTCGTTAAAATTGAACATATGGCCGTAAATATGTGAATTGTTTTCTTCTTCCTTCGAACGAATCCTTGAAAACGGAAACCGATCCGAAATCCAAAGCTGGCGCAATGTCCATAGAAGAATGTCGGTAGTCAATAATCTAGAAAAAGTAGTTGACAGTCTAATACTCAGTTACTCCACAAACTCTAGCCTTCTATTTTACCCCGATCACGCACTTTACATAAGAGGTAATGTCAGCCCTGTTGTCCGACTTATTTGGAATTCCTTTGCAGCAAAATATATGACAGAAACCCGGAAGCTATGTTATATTTCGATCTCAAGAACCTATTAAATAAATTTTCCCATAAAATATTTATAATGAAGCTAATGGTTCACCATATTCATTATTATACATTCCTGGAATTGAGTGAAGACCTCATTGTATGTAAGCCCTTCCCGTTCTTAAGTATTGCTGTTTATTTTAAGTTTGGCACCATCAAGATGGCCAGAAGAACTACCTACTTGCCTGAAACTTATCAGTGCTCTTATAACCCCAGTCAGTCAGTATTCTAGAGGAAAAAATAGGCTTGCGCCTTTGAACTTCCTATTTGTCACATAAAAATCGCAAGAATTAGAAACAATTTTAATACGTTTTCAGACAAACAAATATAGACAGTCACATCGTGCATTAGTGATTCAAGGTTTATTTGTCACATAGTTCACATTGTGCTGTATCATATGTAGATCAATCGGTGTTTGAAGATTCCCATAGATTGGGATATAACAAC